GTCTCACAGATTCAGCTGACAAAAATACCGAATGTAAAGCACAATTTAAAAGACATTATCCTATATTTTTTTAATAAAATCAATATCATTTGAATATTATATTAGCTCTACGTGTACACATTTAATAACAGATGTTTCCATAAACCTTTCAATAAACAAGCGAAAGCAACTTTAAATGATGAACGGAATATTTAACATATAGTACGACGACAGTGCTGTGTCAATCAGAGCAACAGACTACTCCTGTTGGCTACTCTAAAAGTCTGTTGACGTCAACCTAGGAAAACATATAATGTGTGATCATATTTCCAAGAAGTGAAACTGCGGAAATTTGACGTGTAATTGAAACCATATAGTCAACACATCATTGCACGCGTCTCGTATGCAATTTTATTTTCATTTGTTGACGTCACTGACTTCCTCCGTGTGTTGTGTTGCTCCAATTTGCTCAAGTTTTTACTTTTAATTTTAGTCGATTTCTGGAGAGTGTTGATTAATAAACACGCATGAGCATGCATCGGTCCGTAAAGCGAATGTAACTTTTGAAAAAAGCGTGCAATAAAAATCAGTTCGGCATGTATGTAACATCAAACAATAGAATATACATTTTCAATCTGTCATGTTATCCAATTATGTATAATCTCGTGATCTGTGTTTGTTTGGTTGGCGTTAGTGGCAATACAGCCAGTGGCTTGTATCACTGTGAAATTATACATCTATTACATGTTTCTACAGGTAGTTGAAATATGATAAATTGCTGATATCTGACTGAATAACAAATATATATATATATATATATATATATATATATATATATCAGTTTTGCCCATGTAAAAAGTACAAGCAATACATATTAAATTAGAAAAAGGTTAAAATAGTAAGTAATTTTGAAATACGAATATTAACAATAGCAATTTCAAAAACTATAAAAGAACTAAAAAATGTTAAAATAGTAAGTAATATTGAAATACGAATATAAATAATAACAATTCCAAACAAATAATAGAATAGAAATGTAAGAGTAATTCAATAATTAATATTATATATGTATGACATGCACATTGTTTTTCTAATCGCGGTGTTGGTTGGTAAACTGGGTTTCAAATCGCGTTTGGTATTTCTCGTTAAAATTAAACATTTACGTTAACGACGGCTGGCGATTGCCCTTGCTACTCGTAGAGCTTAATCTTCCTTTACTCAGACGTGAAGACTGTTTCATTGATGACTGTGCTAAGGTGCGAGACCGTGAACTACTCATACTGAAACTCATTGCGTTATGTTTCGTACAACACGATTGGTACATCATGAAAGCCTCCCTTGCATCTTTCTGTTGAAAGATAACATATTATTGACACGAATTATTACAGTTTCACAATTTTGTGTTTTCTTATTTTTGTAATACGTACATGTGTGGAATAGGATAC